GAAACAAATTAAATTATTTTATACTATTTTTACTCGACTAAAATAGTGTGAACTTATTATCCTCATCCTTCCTTCAACCAACTTCTTTGGGTTTCTTGAAATATTATAGTGTATTATAGTAAAGTATAAAGCATCGAGCGATAAAAAAAAATCGGTTTTGTTTTAATTTATACGTATTTTATAAACACTGTTCGTTGAAATTATTATTTATTTAACTTTAATTTTTGGCAAGTGAATTTTTGATGCGGAGCTGTGAAGGTACTTTTTTTACAATAATGTATTTGTTTTTTTTTTGTGTCTAGAACGACATTTTTTTTAAGCCCCTGAACCTATTCCTTTATTTAGCTTTAATATTGATTAAAAGTCGTATCTGTAAGATATCTTATTTTTTTTAATTATTGAGAAAACCAACATATACTTTAGATATTGTTTAAGTTAATATTACTTATGTCTGCAACTTTTTAAAAAATAGTTTTATTAGATCATTGTATGAGATTTTCTTTAGACATAAAACTACCGTTTAACCAAAAAATTCATAAACCCTTTCCTGTAGAAGGAGTGGAACACTTTTCTTTTTTTCGTTTTTTAAGTGAAGATTTAGTGTTAAGGTAAAAATATTAGACTGAAAGGTAAATATAGAAAGGAGCTATTACATAATATGCACTTTTCTAAGAAAGCCGTTGTCAACTTTTTTTTTTTTATAACTATTAAATACATTAAAAGATTACAGATTTCACAAAATTTTTCAGCACATACGACGTATACATTTTATAAATACTTATATCATTCTAATATTTATAAGTTAATGTATAATAAATACTGAATAAATTATACTGAAGATTACCTTAATTGATTAAAGAAAACAATAGTAGGTAATTAGGAATAAAGATTGGTATTTGTTATTTAACTACTATTTATAGTTAAGAAATAATTATTAAATATATCAAAGATTAATTGGGCTACTATTATGGATATTAAAGACATTTTCTTCCATGAATAGTCAGAATTTCAATTGAATTTTTAAATTAGAAGTTAATAATTATTTTTTTAAAACACCACCTATGTAGAGCGTGTATTTCATTGATATCGACCCCCTCTCAAGCGGCCATGTTTTTGTCTCTTATCTCTAATTTGGTATCTCTCATATCTTATATCTAATCTGATATCTCTATTTTTATGTTTAATTTAGTGTCTCTAATATCTTATCCCTAATACATTATCTCTATATTTATCTTTAATCTATTTTTCTAGGGATCTCTACTTTTTTTGTTTATTGATAAAAATTTATACTTAATACTAAGTAAAAATATACCAATATAAAAGGTAATTTTTGTGAGAACAACGAATATTCAGAGTGATGCACCTTATATGAGAGCACATGTCTTACTACTAAACAAAAAGTATGTAAGTACGTATATCCAAATAACTATACTACTTGAACGATTTTTGTGCTTTCATTAATTGTAGTTACTTAGTAATGCTAAGAAATACTAACTGATCCAAATAGCACTATTAACCACGTTGTTGCTATTAGAATATGGACACCTGTGGATGCCATGGAAAACTCTGTAAAATTAAAAATTAATATATTAAACTTGTAGGTATATTAAATATTATTTGTATTGAATCACCAATAACTTTACTATTGATACCGTGTACTAACCTAACGTCCTTATATAGTATACAATGTTGGCACTACTGAGAACGGTTATTTATTAGGAAGTAAAATATTGGCAATATTTGTCGAAAATTGGGTCTACGATAAAAGTTTAAGTATATCAATTGGTTAATTAATAGTATTTGGATATTGGTCTCCAAATATTATTTTTGTTTACTTATTTATGAGCTTAGTTTTTATATAAAACTGGACTTCACGGGAAAAATTCACATTTTAAATATCTTTTTAATAATTAAGTTTTTTTCTATTAAAAAAATATGAGTGAGTAAAATATAAGTAGCCACCGAACAATTTATTTTTCTATTTGTTTAATGTAATCATCAACTATTATATTTTATTATTCACATACCTAAATAAAATTAAAGGTACCTATTTATAAAAATAAGCGTAAGGACTATTATTGAATCCTATTTTAGTATGAGTATGTGGATAACACTTTTACATAAATAACTCACCTAAATTCTCCGGATTATCAAAAATTATTCTTGACAGAATAAGTAGTGCGCCTGCTGATAATTGCTGCAACATAAAAAATTGTTTTTTTGTTATAGTCGTAATAATAAAGCTATTAAATAATAAACCAACACATCAGAGTTAAATAAAAAGAATAATAAACCGTAAACATAGAAAATGTTATAAGTACTATTAAAACATTTCAATAGTATAACTAATTCTAGTAAAATAATTATATTTACAGTTGAAAACTGTGTTTAAAACATATGTATACATGAAATAATCAGTACCAGGGTTTTTATGTTATAGTATCTTATTTTTTTTAGGTTTAACGTGTAATATATTTACAAAAAAAACTTGCCAAAAATATGCCACCAAACATCATAACCAGGCCCTGTACTGCGATTAAAGTTGACATTATTGTTTGTTTTTAATTCATAGGTAACTGATCAAATAAAGTGTATAGACACAAATAAAGTCAAAGCTTGTGTATGTATACACTCAATAAAAAAATAGGTAAAAAATAAACAAAGCATTACTAAGGAAAAACGTATGGTAAATTTTAATCTCAGCTGATCCACATAGTACCGGGGAGAAAGATGATAGCTTGCTCGTAATCTTACATGCACTAGTCCAGTTATATCGGCGTCATATAACAAAGATTAGTGTATCAATACCACATCAGGCGCTATGATGTGAATAATGAAAACGGAGAATTATGAGTGGTTTGCCACAAAGACCTAAAACTTGTCTTCAGTACTAATGAAAAGAGAACGTTCTGTTCAGCAAGGTGACTGAAGGAGTAAACCACAGACCTGAGCTTAATACCTGACCAACCACAGTGGAACTAAGTACAGTCTAAACCAGTACATTTTAATCCAAGCCCAGTTTAAACCAGCGCTGTATAAATCAGTACAGAAGAAGTTATGATGGTTCATATCAATTATGAAATCTGAATTTGATTTAATCACAATCAAACGCTTCGATGCGATTTTGGAAATAGTAAGAATCCAGCATAGTATAAACCGGCACAGTCTAAACCAAGCACAGTCCGAACCAAGCACACTTCAAACCAAGTACAGTCTAAACAAGTTCAGTGTAAGCTAGCACAGTCCAAACTAAACATAGTCCGAATCAAGCATATTTCAAACCAGCACAGTAAAAATTTACCGAAGTGGGGTCCAGTATCCTAGATTCGCATCGAAGCATTTTCTTGAATGTGATTTTTTAGTAACTGCATCTACTGACTATTTTTGTTTTTAGTATATTTTTTAAAACATTTTTGGTTATAATGTACTAGGCAGATGTCTTATACCTTACAGAGTAGTGAAAGGATATATTATTATGGTAGGTAAAGACTGATCTGATTGTGTCTAATGGTGTTTCAACTCTATTATATTAACCTATTGTTATGTGAGTTTTTATACGAGCTACAAGATTTAAGACTGGTAAATATTTATAGAAATGTCTGTCATAATATGCTAAATTATGCAGAACTAGTTGAGGTATATTATTCCGTTCTTGTAGAGCTGTGATTTCTTTCTGTGCTTGGTTCGGACTTTGTTTGGTTTGGACTGTACTGTTTGAAGTGCGCGTTGATAAAACCACAATCAGATTTAATAACTGAAATTAAATATTTTAATCCAGCTATTTTTTTTTCACCTAACCTAATAACACACGGGTTCGCGGTTAATCTATGACTAAAATCATAATGTATAAATAAACAATTATGGATAATATTCTAACTTTTTTTATTCCATTTGATTTTTAAAGACTGGTGACTTTGAATATAGTTGACACTTGGCACACTTTTTTCCATGTTGTAAAATCTAGTTTTAATTCATAAATGGCAGTGTAATATTTTAATTAAATACAAATGAAAAACAACACTATTATTATTGATACACGTAGAATGTTAATTAAATATTTTATTATAATTTTGTTAAATGATAATTTAAAGAGATTCTGAAAATGATTATTTATTTTTAATAAATGTAATTTTGCTATTTGCAATCAAAACACAATATGAACACCAATTAATAGCCTTTTGTCAAATCATTTTTGTTATAAAATGCTTTTTGATTTAATATCATGAAATTTCTAATTATAAATCAATTAGTTCTGTAACAAACAGAATAGTCTATACAACTTCAAATACTAGATTGGTTACCTCAATCCAGACTTAAGTCGAGGAAACCAATATAGAATAATACACATCAGAGTGTTAATCACTCCGAATAATGGTGAAAATCATTCTCAGATCACTACCAAGTTCCACAAGTACATGGTTAGAAGCCCTCTAAAGAACAAAATTAAATAAAAAATAAGTCATGAATTGATGACTAACTCAAATTATTGGATAACATATTAATGTTTCAAATATGGCAGATATAATGATAATCGATATGATTTGACCGTACTTTAAGAATTATTTGATTCCCCAGTTTGCTGATAATTGTAAAAAACTTGTAGTAATAAATGATTGGCTTCCAAAAAAAAAAAAAACAGTTTTTGTTTCCACGGTAAAAAAAATAGCGACATTAATTTTCTAGGAAATTTTCTTCTTGGGATATTTTCTCCAAGAACAGGATGACTTCATCTCCTAAGGCAATCGTTCAAGGTAAAAATAACGTTAAAGCGGACGATAAAAAAACAGTTTCTAACCGTCGGTTTTGTTTTTGTCAACGCAAAAGTCGTAGAAAATTTCAATAAGAGCAAACTGGCTTTTGTGCAGACCATTGCAGACCTGGCAATCAAACCGGCGTACATAGAATGTCTTCGCAAACACGGCGTTATCGCGATGGCAAAGCCGTTGGTGGGCGACCCGAACACGACAGTCAGGACGAACGCGGTCCTGTTTTTATCCCGAATGATCGGCCACAGTGAATCGTGTGCCATGGAAGTTTTAAGCTCTTCCGTCACGTTAGGGCGCGTTTTCGATTGCGTCGCTAAAGAAAACGTGAGTTTAAAATAAAAAAAATCAGATCAGACTACGATTGCTTCCTCTCAGACTCGGCTATTCGAACAAGGCGTAACAAAACAAAAATACCTACGAATAACTTGTTTAGCGTCCATATCAAGTTTATTATGATTCACACCGTCTCTTGCTATTGGGGTATTCCAATAGCAAATGTTAGCTGGGAAATCCCTACAGAAATACTTAGCAAGGAAAACCCCAAATATTTATTACTATTTTCTCGATATGTTTGTATACCGATTCTAGTATTTTTAGCACATAATCATTCCTCCACTTATGATTCAATTTTAAAAAAATGTAAATTTTGACATTATACTACCAATTTTACATCCAGCATTTTATATCCGAACAAATCTAATTGTCGATATTAATTCTTTTTAAAGATGGATTACTCAAAGTATTGTGCGCTAAATTTTAAAATTTTTGTTAATTTGTAGAAATACTATAAAAAAAACTGCATGGATTTTATTCGGAACATTTGTAAGTACAATGAGGATTTCACTAAAATTGTATTGACGTCCGGAGGACTGGACGCCATTTTAGTTTGTATGGACGATTTCGATGTGCTCGTCAGAGAATTTGCATTGCAAGCTATCGCATCGGTAGCACGTCATGGTCCTGACCTTTCGACGCAATTAGTCAATGCAGGTATTTTCTATCTTCACCAGTTAATCATAGTAGTCTCAGATTATTAAAATACTTATGTAAATATCTGTGAACAGTTAATATTATAATGATTATCCAGGACACGCAAATTTACAATGAATAATATAGTACGAGTATGTACATTTCAAAAGCAAATCAATTGAAAAAAATGACTCTTTTAACATATTTTGTAATTGTAAAAAAGAATAGATAATCCTAACAAATGTAAAAATTAAAAAAATATTGCAATATTATTTTTCAACTGTTAACAAATTACTTGAGTTTTTCTTAAAAATTAACTAGATTCGGCTTAATCCGAAATGCATAAAACAAGAACTCGTCTCGTTTGGTCTTTTCAAAATTCTGAAACTTATCCGTTTTCAAATTCACTTATTAATAGCTTAGCGGACCTTGCAGTCTCACCTACAATATTTCTCCACGTTTTCTTGTCATGTGCTGTATCAAATTATATAGATGTGTGCGTCTTGTTAGACTTTAGGAACGAAAAACAGAAAAATCATATCATATTTTACACATCATACTTTTCCCCAATCTGAAGGAATGGTTCCCATTCTGATTACACTATATTTCAGGTTTAGTGCCTCAAATTTTGTTGTGCTTGAAAGAGCAGCCGACCACATTGAAAATTGCTTCGTTAGCCGCTCTAGACCGAATCGCCAAACACAACGCGGACTTGGCCCAAACGATCGTGACCGCTTCTGAGCTACCGTACATTGTATGCCTGTTGTCGTCGACCCATACGAACATTAAAGTTCAGGTATTAACCTTAATAATGTGAATTCGTCGATTGTAGTAAATTTGGATTCAAATAAAGTCTACTAAAAAATCACAGAGAGGAGCGTTGGCTCTCATCAGGGATATCGTCAGACACTGTTTGAGCTTGTCGGAGAACGCGATCGAAGCAGACTTGTTTCCTACGATATTGGTGTTGATGGGTAGTCCGGACGAGTTGGTTCGCAACGAAGCTGCAAAAGTTGTCGGTGAAATGGTTAAACAAAGCGTTCAAGTGAGTGATTGTGATTTAAAACTAAACATTTCCTGGAAAAACCACGTTTTTTATTTAAAAAATTACATATATTTTTGCCAATATTTAACTAAAATAATGTTGGTTATTTAGGTCTTAAAGACTAAATAGGAAATATAATTATGATTATTGAAGTTTCTGGTTTCTAAAGGACATTTGAGGACAAAAACAATACATTTTAAATAACGATGAAAAAAACGTTGAACAATTATTTGTAATTTATAGATCATGATTTGTCAGAAACATATTATTTTGAATGTAGCAACATTTTTGAGCAATTCCAACTCATACCATTAATCGTGAAAAAATTCTTAATTTATTTAAAAATAGTCACAATAAATATTCAGCCCAGTGATTTAAATTTAATATTTGAATTCAATATAATTTATGCTAACCAAATGTTGTCACATCTCAAGTCTCAACAAGCATTTTTTATTATTATTAATACTGTACTTAAAATAAGCCCGTTAGGTTGTTATGAGCTCTAATATATCTTTGCTGAACTACAATGAATTAGGCTATTATAATTTTTTCTTTGAATTTATAAGTAAATTATTAAAAAATAATGTATTACGTATTTTAATTACTTGATCATTTATTCTAAAATTTGTTAAAAACCAAAAAGAAGAAAAGGTTATTTTAAAAAATTTTAATTTTAATTTCTTGTTTAATAAATAGATTTCCCAATTGGTAGTCAACGCTGGAGGAATAGCCGCCCTGATGAACGTTATTAAGCTCAGTAAAGAACATTGCTGTCTTCCGGCCGTGATAGCTATTGGTTATATCGCTATCTCGTCACCTTTGCTCGCTTCTGTCATCATTCAGTCAGACGTAAGACAACGTGTATTATTTTCAAATTAGTAAGACGCACAAAAGTTTTTGATAGCATTTATCATCTCATAGGTGTTGCTTCCGCTCAACGGTATTTTAGAAAACGACGACGACGAATTCCTCAAAGCCGGTGTGATATGGGCGCTAGGACTGATAGGCAAACACAGTTGTGAACATTCAAGAGCAGTATGCACCACGGGCAACGTGGTTTGCATCATGACAGAAGTAGGTAAACCTTTACTTACCACAAGCACAGTTAATAATATATACCTTGTAGATACTTAAGTCTACTAAATCTGGAGCCGAAATCCGACTGAAGACCGAAGTCACAATGAAACTATTGCTGTGTAAATGCGACGATTTAGTGACGTTAAATACTTTGTTAACGGATTCAACTCCTATGGAAATAGTCATATGCGTCTTGGAACAATTTTTAAAAGTATTAACAGCTTTGTTTAATTCACTATCGTCAATTTATCGTTAGTTAGTTCACTGCTACTGGAAGAGTGTCAGAAACTAAGAACATTACTCTCCAAACTTCTCTAGTAGACATGTTGGAGGTAGCTTTCTTTGAGTGGTTAGATGTTATTTTGTATCCGAGGTTAGGTTAGGTTATGTCATTGCAGATATTATGGAATAAGGTAACAATATACCAGAAACACTTTCATATACAAGTCATTGAGAGATGAAAAACTACGTGAATTTTAGAGTTAAGTTCTTAAACAAATATCAGAATTGGGAAATAAGAACTAACGTCGAACTATACCAGTTGTACAAAATATAAGATGTGGTCCAATTCATCAGAGGAACAAAGATAGAATACGCAGACCATTTATGGAAGTATGTTGAAAGAGGCAATGATAGATGTGATGAGGGGAAAGAGACCAAAGTAAAGACCTTAAAGACATGTCAGAGAATTACTGTATAGAAGACATTGGAGCAGACTGGGAGCTGGCTTATGATAAAGAGCGATAGAAGGAAATAATTTTGGCGGCTAAAAACCTAAATAGCTCGTAAAGCCTAAAAAAAAAGTTACTACAACTGATAGATTTAGGAATAGCCACAGATATTATAGGCAGTTTTGAAGAGGAAAAGTGTCCAACAATGTATGTGAAAAAAATAAAGGATACCGTATGAAGAAGCAAAGACTAGTGTTTTGAATGTGTATGCTGTGTAATAAAATAATTTACTGTTCAAGTAAGGGATAATCAAGAATCAGTGTAAGGCCTATATTTGTATTCTTAGTAATGGATAAACTTATGAATAGTTATATCATCTATGAAATATTTATTTAAAAAAAAATCTATAGACAAATAATAAGAGTATACTAATTTATATATGTATTGTTAGATTTTACCAACGAACGCTAAGGCGAGACGAAGTTTTATTCTAGACGGTCATCTTAAAAGAATCCAGCAATATAGTCCAGCTCCTGATACGGAAATGTACAAAATACTGCAAGGAATAAATTGCTGTTTCCCAGAAGACATTGTACAGTAAGTGCAGTGCGCTGTCATTTGATACATTTTTAATTAATAACCACGTATACTATGTAGAAGAGCTACTGGAGATTTCCCTGAATCGGTAATGCAAACCGTAGACAAGTATCAACCGAAGAGCAATTGCGTGTTTTATAGTCGTCATCCGAAAAGTAATGAACTTAATAATTCTGACAATTCGTCTCATGAAGAGGAAGCAACATTTGAATAATGTGTAATGAAAAATTAACTTTAAATCAAAGTCATGGTTTCGTTTCTTGTACAATATTTGTCCTTCTACTATTTAAGTATAAACCAAATTTATTAATAGAGTTTACTCTAGTTTATTTATATAATTAAATGTCAATATTGAGTTAGTATAAATTGATATGTCGAGCAACTCAACATTTGTGAATTCTTTGTCAATCAAGCAGAAAAAACCATTAAACCTAACATTTCTACTCATTCACCATTAAAAGTTGGAAAGCTCCAAGAAAACCTTAAGAAATAATTTTTTCATAAATAAAGCTGTACCCAGAACGTTTCTTTTAAATACATTGGTACTTTGGTGGATCAAAAGTAGAAAAAATAAAATCCTTCGCCTTTAAAACTGGGAAAACCATAAAAAATTAGACCAGTTTTTCAACCTGAAACTTAAAACTTGCTATAACTAACCGAAAAACTGTCCGATCGAGAAGAAATTTTTACAGAATATATATACTAACCAGTCCAAAAAAATACTTTAAACCAAATTTAAAAAAAAAAATATTTTATTGAAAATATTCAATATTGCTCTGAGGGGGGGGGGGGGGTTAAAAAAACAGTACACAAATAACTTCTCTTTTGAAATGAATTTTTATAATTATTTTGCCTGTCTCTGATAATATATTAATTAATACAAATTAATAATTTTGGCTAAATGTTTACGTACGAACACAACTTTCTCCAACGGCAGAATAGGAAAAAATGAAACCAATGTGATGTTTCAATGTAATAATTTATTACAATCCAATAGTTATTGAAAAGAAATAATAATAATAGATAGACAATAGTTATTATTGTGTAATCAGTTATGTGTACATATGTTTAAACAGTTTACAGTAAAGTAGCTAAGTATATAAAATTGTTGTAAATTCGTATTTTTAATATCAGAATAGGTATGCAGCGTTTGAGCATCTAATAGTAGACAAAAGTCAAAACAGTACAAAACATTAAACACTTAATAATTAAAATATTAATAATACAATTATTATTTATTATACTTATTTACTTCAGGCTCTAAATTACTTCAGAGAGTAACATTGTAACAATTATACAAAAAATACCTAGATATACCATATTACTTATTCACAATTTTTTTTTGCTGTGGGGGGTTTGACCCCCCCCCCCTAAAGTACGTCACTGAGTACATATTGTTTTTAAAATAAACTGTGTAATGCCTGAAATTCGATCAAATTGCTTATAGGTTTTTTTTCTACATAAAATGTCTGTTATTTAAAAATGATTTCACTTAATATAAAATTGGATATTTCACCTATTTTTGGAGTTACAGATTTAAGAGCCTCTGCACTAGAGGTTTTTTTTTTATAGAAAACAACCAGTTTTAGATCCATCAAAACCTATTATGCTTGCTTTGATTTTTTATACTACAGACAGCAAACATACCGACATGTAACACGTTTATAGCAAGCCCGTCTGTGAATTGTGAAGTGATCTTATCTCATTGACATTTATTTCAATTTATTATCTTGGACCATCAACAGTAATGTATGCTATTTAGATTGTAGGTGATCACAATTGGACAGTCAGTATTATTGTACTTATATCATAGTCTGTATGCATCGAATAGATAAATTCCAGTCGTTTGAAATCAAGAAATATTTTTAGTTGTCGTGGATTTTATAAATGCTATATTTACACATTGCTACATGGTAAATGTCAATATAGGCTTTCCTACATTTCAAAATTGATAGTTTCATTCAAACTAACACCTGCAAGAGGTTTATGATTACAATATGGAAGCAGTGTTAATACAGCAATCTCATTTATAAAAAAAACAGTATAACATTACACATACAAATTTTAGTTTTAATACGTTACACGAAGATTAATACATTTAAACATGCATACATTAAATGTACAATAATTATTACAAATGTATACACACATTATACATACAAATATTATATCACATATCATAGATAAATGTGATTATAATTTCAAATAACATGTATTATTATTATTATTATTACAGCCCTGAGTTAATGGATTTGGTTTTTTTTTTAATGGTCAAAATATACCAGCAAAATAGCTAAAAAGTGAACTAAAAATTTGAATTACATTATAATAGATTAGCATCTTAGCCACAATCGCAATTTCGTTTTGCTAAAAGAACAAAATGTAAAATACAACAAACAATTTTCCTTGGACATGATTAATATTTTTAGAAAAGATTGTTTAATTGAAAAACTATAAAAATAAAACCAACATCACAGTATATTTTATTTTTTTTCTCTATTCTTGTCATTTGTAAATTTTTAGATATTAAATCTTTCTCGTGTTTTTAAACGTTGATTCATAGACGAATTTAAAACTGATATAAGGTATAAAGAGGTCCTTATAAAAATCAAATAAAAATAATCGTGTTATCTAATGACCACAAATAAGTTAAAGCGATACAATTTCTGTTGCAAGCAAGAAGAGATACGAATACTAACTATAATTTAGTAAAATATTCTTTATACAGAAGAGGAATGATGCAAATCGACTACCCCAATAAAAAAGGTAAATAAATAAGCGAGGACTGGTTACAGGAACAGGCGAGATCTTCGACTATGCTATTAGAGTGGTTTGGCGATATGTCAGCAAGCTGCTTTATCAGTGCTGCTAGTCCGCATTCTGTGGCATGTCGGCTCATTGAATCCTTGTCAATGGTGTATTCTTCCAAGTTCATTCAGGCAGTATTGTCCTGTGGGCGAAACAAAGTGAACTGACGAGGTATGAGTCATATGTTTTCATACTGCTTCATCAGTTCCCTTTATTTAGCCCAGAGTAGCATCGAGATCTGAATTAAACTGAATTAAACAATCACATTTTAGCCACAAATAGAAAACAATAATTTTATTAGTTATAAATAAAAGTATTACACCGCTTAATTATTTTACACTATTATTATCTGGAGGTAATAAGGCATTTTTTAAACAATTTTTAGACTAATAAAATTATTTTTAACATTTTAAGTACAATTTCTCTTGATATTACCGGAGTTCAGAATATTATTTCAAATAGCGTGGATTCAAAATCATAGTTATAACCCAATCACCTCTCAAAACCAACATACTCTCATAGAAAAATGGTACAGATCTAACTTTAGTTATTTATACTTCTGCCAATAACTGCTAAATTCTAAACCCTTCAATAAAAATCTGAAAATAACTTCACAACATGTTACAATTCGAATCGCTTATTCGGATCGTGATTTTATCACTATCAAAATTATTTACTACATCTATAACTTAATGATTAGTTTAGGACTTAAGAAATAAAGCCTCCAAAGAAATCAAAGTGGTTTGTAGAACTATTTAAACAAGTGTCTGCAGTCGTTGCAAGCATTCAAAATGAGCATTGCCACAAGCTCCTCCTAGGCAGCTAAATCGATTCAAACACACTTTACTTGTGGAAAAATTAGCTGCAGAAAAGTGGATAAAAAATAATTAAAACAAAATTTAATAATTTCTATACAGGCTAGTAATATTTGTTTATATTTGACTGTATCGTGTCCAACGACCGGCGCAGTCGTGTTGAGTGGACATTTTTATTTCCTATTTTTGTAAAGTCAATAAGACGTGATGTTAAACGAAGAAGAGTACGATTACAACGAAAACTACAATGAACACGAATACCTGGACGAATTTCTGGATGAAGTGTCCGTGTACAAAGGATTGTCCAAAATAGGAGTGAGTCGATTATTAGAACAAAGATAAGGTATATCGCACACCTAGAATAAGACTGTTACAACTAAAAATTAGTTTTGAGAAAAATCGAGATGAAGAAACGTAAGAATGGCACAAAATTCAATGAGAAAGTCTTGTGTTTTGACTTAAATGATTAGTTGCATACATAAAAAAAACGCAATACTACCAAAAAGTAAATATGGCTGTGTTGCTTTGATAACTAGCTACAAATTGAAAAAGTTCATTACTGACACATATTTTTGGTGGCCAAATGCAAAATTATATTTAATGTGAGATTCTTACAATATTATATAAAGTTAATTTTTACTCCTCGAAAGGTTAGGTAGTTATAACTTAAAATTTTAAGTAGTGGTACAGCTGAAAAGGTATTGTTTTTACAATGTGTTAATAATAGTTGTTTTAGAGTTTAAGGTAGATATTTAGTCCGAAGGTAGACCTAGAATGAAAGTATATCATACACAATTTTCTCAAAAATCTGTAGTAAAACTTTTTTTGTTAAGGAAAGCAAATTAAAAATGGTTGAAAATTAGACTTTAACCGCAGTAAATTTCCAGGTTGCTATGTTAATGTGAATCCACAGCCAACAGGTATTTAAAATAATAGTTTTATTATTGGGTTAATTACGATATATGAGAAACAACAGCAAATAATTATTATAGGCGCTTAAACAATTATAACGTTTTTTTCAATTATTTTGTATTCCTGCCACCTGCAGATTCTCATGGAACCTTTTTTTTTAAAAAGTTATTTTTATCACTTTCAGTTATCATAATTTTTGTAGGTTTGTGACCTTTCTCGTCCCCAATATGCTCTGACCCCACTGAACTGGCTTTATTTTTAATTTTTTTTTTACCAGGTCTACAAAGGCGGTCGCAACGAAAACGAAGAACGTCATGGATATGGCCAGGCGATATTGCCCAATGGTGACAAGTACTCCGGTTACTATGATAACGGGCTTCGGCACGGTCACGGGGTGTATAAGTTTGCAAACGGTGGCAAATACGACGGGCACTACAAGAAAGGCAAGAGGTATGGCGAGGGCACGATGATTTATCCGGACGGTACCAAGTACGAAGGTTTGTCGTCAACTCAAATTATACTTGGTCACTTATTACAAAGGACTTATAGGTTACAATATATTAAAATTGATAACTTGCAAAAAAAAAAAAAATCACGAGGAAGTAGGTATTGAAATTTTAAGAATTTCTCATTTAAATAGGCTGCTATCTATTGTAAGGGTAAGCCGTAGAAAAAAGCCAACTGGAAAGTTTGGTTCAACCAGTGACTAATATGAAACTAATACCGTTTTGAAGGTAGTTGGAGGAACAACGAAATGTGGGGACAAGGAACGTACACGTACAAGAACGGTGACGTGTACTCTGGCACTTGGAAAGCCGACATAAAACACGGTCTGGGGGCTTACAAGTTTTGCAAAACTGGAGTCATTGTAACGAGCGTATGGCAGGAAGGTCAAAGAGTGAAGGGATTCAAAGTTTTCTATCCGAGCCAGACTGGAGGGTCTGGTTACACGTTTTGCAGCACGTGGGATGAAAACCAATCGGTAAATATTATATCAAGTCAGTAATATAGCAGCCCATACACAATATTTAATTTAATCTACCCTGGAAGACAAAACATCGGGTCACGAACATGTCTTATGATGTATTTTCAATCATCTAGGAATTATAAATTTTGCCTTATCACTACTTTTCCTATCCTTTTCTTTCCCTTGCAATAAAAGTAAAATTACAACATAATTAACCAAAATAAATTGATTTGTATGGCTTTGTCTCATTTGTGAACTATAAAATTGTTTTCCTCAATTCGTTTGTAATAAATGTGTTATATTTTATTGAACTATGATATTGTTGAGAGGTGCGGTGGTAGTCAGTACCAACTTCACCATAAGGTGAGAACATATGTTTAACGTGCCAAACCTGATTATGTAGCACTCGTTCTACTAAGTATAATGTGATGTCATACGGTTCACTTAATATTTTAAACAAATATTTCGACTCTTTGTACTTCCTTTGAACACGCCTTTGAAGTTCGATTGAATTTTCCTAACACTTGTACCATTCTGCCTTGTTTAACTCGCATTCGATCAATCGCATGACTTTGGTTTCAAGTACATGGGCGAAGGATTTTTCGTGTTCAGCGACTTGAACTGCATGCTGAGAGGCAGATTTTCGAAGGTGAAAAATCCGTACTTCGTCAACATGGGCAAAAAAGCAGGTGGGTACTGATAAATACCTGGGAAAGACCTAGTCATGACTATATTGATTTAATAATGTTTTTACAGAGAGACAGATTGATCTTTGGCGGGTCGATGAAATCCTACCAGAAATCAAAGAGATGTTGCCGCGTATACCCAAAGACCGACCGTTCCTGTACCAGAAGACAGACTCTTCCCTAGTGTGCGACTTACCTAGCGAAGTTCGTCCGACCATGAGTGACGCCGAAGTTTACAAGAGGTCGGACAACTTGTGGGACGAAATGGTCGGTGAAGAGGGCGAAGAAGGACACTTAGGGTACACGTGGAAACCGGACGAATGCGACTTGATTGCCGCCGACCCGTCGATGGATCTGAACAGTTTGAAATCGGTCCCAGACAACGTTTCCAGCACTAGCCTCGTCGAAACACCTTTCATTTGAATGTGTGTTTCATTTTGTGACCCACAAAAAGATAAAAACGTAGGTTAGTTAATAAATTAATTCGGAGGGAAGGTTAATGTACAGTGTTAATAAAAAACAATATAAAAATAAAAACTCATGTCTTATGATCAGATTTTTTTAATTTTGTTTATTATTGATTACATCCTGTATGGTTATAATATTAACTCCTACAGCTGATACCATTTATTCGATAACCAGTATACTGGTAACCTGAATATAAAACAACGATTGAGCAACACTCGTAAATTTGACACATGTTAATTTAACAAAAGATAAAATTTAACAAAAGTTTATTACGGTGGTAAATAATTTACCAATAGATAACGACAAGTTTGGTGCAACTGGGTATATGTCTATTAATCTAATACATAATAAATAACAATAATACCATGAAAAAACGCCGTTTTGAGTAATTCGTGTTTACTTTTACAATTACTATAAAAAAATCAAGACATGCCTTTAAGACACATCGTTAAGTACTCGATTACTGTCCGCTAAATTTATAACATGTAGTATGTATAAGAGAACATTTAAATTTTTTTTATAGTATGATGTTTAAAAATCTTAATTATAATAAAACCACCACATACTGTTGTTAGCGTGTCACTTGGCAATGTTACACAGTGACAAGTTATACAGCCCAAAACGATTTTCGACACACTGTCAGAATTGCTGTCGGTACCTATAGACAACGAGTAATGTTACAGATATAATACACACACAATCCTTTAAATTTGATCATGATCAAAAAGATAGTTTACCTATGTTTGTCAACACATCTTCTTTTACTTTTTCAATTTTCTTTTTTTAGAAGCTGCTATTGAATAGGTCTGTTGCTATTTTATTGTTATTCAAAAGTTTTCATTATAATTAAGTGATTTTTTAAAAAATGTATATCAAACAATTGTTTTAGCTAAATACTATACAGAGGCAATCTCAGAACAAAAAAAGTTCAGAATGGCTACTTTTCCTTCTCCATAAAAAGTAAGATTATATTTATTTTTCATCATACCATGAAAATGCAAAACTAATTAGAAAATTAAGCTTTTATACAAGCTAATAGTTATCAGATATTAGCTATTACTACTCGACTTACGCATACATTTCATTAACTTTTTTAATTTTAACGGGTCAAATGAAATATTTTAGTAAATTATTCTTAATTTAAAAAAAAAATAAGATGTATGCGTTACCATTTAAGTTTCAAAGTTGATATAAAAACAATTAGTTTTGGAGAGGGGTAACCATAAAATAAATTGTGAATAACTCAAATCAAATTGTAAAAATTCTATGAAAAAAAAATATTCCTATTTAACCCTATTGAGTGGTTTATGATAAAATGATCACTGTACAATAATTCATTGTTGTTGTAAGTCAAACCACCATGTTTTTTTTTAACAGAAAATATTTAATTATTCTACAAAAAAAATACTCAAGCATAATTTTCAAACCACTTAAATTGCTATATTATCAACGCAAATAGTCTAGGTTGAAGTAATGTTATTTTATGAAAATGAATATATTATAAAATCTCTATTCATAAATAATACAGTATGATATTTTGCATCCTTCTTCATTACTAGTATATTCTAATTAGCAAAAACATTTATTTAACTCGACCAATATGCAACTGATGATCAACCATAGTACAAGTCAAGAAAAATATTCTTACAAAATTAAAACATTACTTAAACATTATAACTAAAAGTAATTATTGCCTTAAATAAAAAATCATAGTAAAAAAAAAAATCAGTCAGTTTTTTTGCATTTTAATAATGAATTGATACAAATATGTCAAAATCATCTACTTTATAGCTACAAAAGTAAAAATTTATATATACTTTCAAAACGTACATTTTTAGTGTCTTTAAAATGAATAAAAAGTTAATTGTATGATATACACATACTATGTATACGATATACTATCTTAGATATCAAAAACAATTTTAAAATAGTCTACAGTCTACTAATAATATTAGACGGTGGCAGCAATAACTTTAAAAAATAAGTAGCACCACTAAGTATTTAATAAATATAGCTGTATTGGTTATCCAACATATTTTACAGTAGATAGTATGGTAGTGTTTGGCCGTAACGGGTGGTCCGTTAGTCAATTTTTAAAATACACTATCTACTAGAGACTACAGCCGGGGCTATCATATCATTTTATATATAATTTTAATATCACCGGAAAAAAAACAGGAAAACTTACATCTCGATAACTGTGATTCTATAGTTTATATTGTAGTTTCTATTATTTAAATAATTACCGTATCAAACAGCTGTTTCCATTAAACATTACCTTAAATTAAAACTAAAACTTCTAATATAATTTTTGTTAACGTTTATTTACATTATATTTTGGAAATTTATTTTATAAACTTGTACACAAGTTCCAACTTGTTCTTTAACTAATTTTGTCTAAGTATCCTACATAACTCTTTTTCAACTACCTACTATTTTGTCAACCCAATATTTTGTTGATGCTAACTATGGTAGCCTAAGTGAAATGCTTGAAGTGTGATGATATCTACAAAAATGATTCTCTACTGCTACAAAAAAACAAAACAATCCGGCTTTATTTTAAAATCTGGTAGCAAATGTATACCAAATTTAATAATATATAAAATTTATATATCATCTGAATAGAAAGGACAAAATTACTAGATTAGAGTGATAAAATGATACAAGAAGTAATGAAAATACTGCTAGATTAAAAATAGTTTTGACCGCTGAATAATACACTATATAATCATAGTATATCATAGTATAGTATAATCATTGACTATGATGAAGTTGTAAATGTATTTGCCGAACATAAAAGCCAAAAAAAGCAATTGTTTTAATTATTAAAATATAAATATACTGTCGCTGTATATCTCTAAGATGATTTGACTAACTAAAGACAAGATAGATACAAACAAATTAGGAACGTTAACTGATATAAATATTATCAGAATATTGTACAAAATAAAGGGGGAGAAAAGCAAGTACTTGTAAATTAAATTTAAAAAAAGGGAAAACAGTCAATGCGTAACGGACCCAATATTCGGTTGATTTGTATCGGTAAATTTATCTGGCAGTCCACCTGGTAGCCATTAACTTATACCTGAACTGAAATAACTGCATCATAGGGTTTGGTGAAATATTTCAAATAAACTAATACTTAAAAGGCCAAAAAGGTATTGAAAAAAATAGTTTAGATGTAAGGCATATTGTTTAACATGCTGTATGGACTGTACAGCAGAATATCAGAATATATAAGCCTACTTGGCAAATTCGGAAAAACGCCGTAGATACTAGATGTGTATTTTGCAATGAATTATTAACAAAAATCTATTACCGGTAGCGTCTCCTTTTTTCCAACATGAATTTGACAGTGAAACGATTTGAGTGCGGTTTAGCCGAACTGGTCATTTTTATCCTCAACAATCAATATCCATCAGTCCGTCCAACGAGGTTAAAAAAAAACAATTGGTTGGAAAAATTAGGTACTCCTGAAAAATCACAGATTAACAATTAACCGTACGAATTGTGCAATATTATTTAAACGTTAGAACGACGGACTTAGATTAAGATTGTCGCAGTAATATACTTGTCTATAAGATACGGGACCGGGGCCGCCAGTGTTCTGTGCTGAAAACGACCTGCGTGCAACGGCAGCCGGCAGCCATAACCCAAGATATAATCGATCGGCAAATGGCCGTCTTGAGTCAATACGAATGTGGCGGCCCCACATACAGCACTGTGGCGGATGCATGGCTACGAGGCGCCACAGCTAGCGCAACCTAGCTGTCGGCATCGATACCGCCTCAACACGTGGTCAGATCGCCAGATCTCGGTAGTTGTGACGAACCGTGGCGAACTTCTCGCATGTGATCAAAGTCACTCAGAAGCGCACATATAAATGCGCACACGACAACTACCGACCAACGTCTTCGGACACCGGCCGGGCAACCTTTTGCCTGCATTCGCTACACACTGAACTGAATACATGGAACGCGCATTGTGAAAATAAATTGGCTACACACGGATTCCGCCATTTTGAGTCCGGTCATGGATAAAACGGTGTAATATACCATTTATTCCATGATAAAAATCTGATACTTCGTATTATCACCTGTTAAAAAAATTGTAGCGAATGCAGGTGTGGCGGCCCCACATACAGCACTGTGGCGGATGTATGGCCACGAGGCGCCACAGCTAGCGCAACCTAGCTGTCGGCATCGATACCGCCTCAACACATGGTCAGATCGCCAGATCTCGGTAGTTGTGATGAACCTTAGCGAACTTCTCGCATGTGATCAAAGTCACCCAGAGCGCACATATAAATACGCACACAACTACCGACCAATGTCTTCGCTACACAGGCAAAAGGTTGCCCGGCCGGTGTCCGAAGACAATGGTCGGTATTCGGTAGTTGTCGTGTGCGCTCTGGGATCACATGCGAGAAGTTCGCTACGGTTCGTCACAACTACCGAGATCTGGCGATCTGACCACGTGTTGAGGCGGTATCGATGCCGACAGCTAGGTTGCGCTAGCTGTGGCGCCTCGTAACCATGCAGAGTGCTGTATGTGGGGCTGCCACAAAATAATATCAACAATATGAAGTCAGAAACCATCATCGAAAATTACTAAATAAAGTTAGATATGGTAAGTAAAATTAGAAAACGGACTCAAAATGGCGGCCTCCGAGGCGGGTCACTTTTATTATATGGAAAATATGCATTATGCGCAGGGGAAAAACGGTAGTTGTCACATTATGAAATTTTTTTTTGTTCAAATAATTTATGCCAATAATTTTTTTTATTTATGTCAATAGATTGTTTAAATATGTAAGAGGTAGAGAAATTCACGAACTGTGTTTTTGCTATACTTTAAAATGTTCATAATGTGACAACTACCGTTTTTTCCCTGTGCCCTTCATTTGTAATCTACTTAAAACTGTCACATTTTCAGATGAACGAGGCAGTATAGTT